ACCAAGCATTGTAGGCAGAATTGTGTCTCCTTAAAATTCATATGTTGAAGCACATGAATTTTGTCGAAGAATGTGACTGTATTTGCAGATAGAACCTTCAAAAAGGTGATTAAAATGAGGTCATTAGGGTGGACTGCAATCCAATCTGACTGGTGTTCTTATAGGAGAAGAAGATGAGGACACAGACACACACAGAGGGAAGAACATGTGGAGCTACAGGGAGAAGACAGCCTGCAGAAGAAACCAACCAGGCGGGCACCTTGATCTTGGACTGCCAGCATCCAGAATTGTAAGAAAATAAAGTTCTGTGTTCATGCTACCTGGTCTGTGGTATTTGTTACTGCAGCCCAGCAAACGAACACACCAAGTGATCAAATGTAACACCACCTGTGATAAGTCATGTTTATATGCTGTGACAGGAAGGGCACTTCACCTCTGTAGTCTTTTTTTTTAAACTAAGTTTATTTATTTATTTATTTATTTGTTGTTGCAGTTTGGCCGGGGCTGGCTTTGAACTCACCACCTTTGGTATATGGGGCTGACACCTTACTCACTGAGCCACAGGCACCACCCACCTCTGTAGTCTTAAAGACATGTAAGAGCGTGAAAAACAAGGGAAGTCTGAGAAGCTGTCATAAACCAGAGGAGACTAGGAAGACACGATGATTACATGGTCTCCTGGATAGGATCCTGGGATAGAAAATGGAAATTGGCAGAAAAATTACTGAAATAGAAATAAAGTCTAGAGTTTTGTCAACTGTACACACCAATGCTGATTTATTGGTTTTGACAAACGTAATATGATAATAAATGATAATGTAGGAGGTTAATTAGGAGAAGCTGAATGAGGGGCATATGGAAGCCCTGTAGTATCTTAACAAATTTTCTGTAAATCTAAATTTATTCCAAAATAAGAAGTGTGTTTTAAAAACAAAGAACCCATTTTTGCCCCTGATTTCAATTTTGGGGGGTCTATGCCTAGCGGTAGAATTGCTGGTTCATATGGTAATTCCACATTCAACTTTTTGAGGCCACCAAACTGTTTTCTGCCAATTTTATATTCCCTCCAGCAAATGTATGAAAATCCAATCTCTCCATACCCTCACCAACATTTGTTGTTTTTGTTATTTTGATTACAGCTATTCTTGTTGAAGTGGCGCCCCACTGTGGTTTTGATCTGCATTTCCCTAACGACGACTGACGACAAACATCTTTTCATGAGCTTACTCACATTTGTTTATCTTCTTTGAGAAATGTCTATTCAAGTACTTTGCCTGGTTTTGAATTGGGTTATCTTCTTGCTCTTGAGTTTTAGGAGTTCTTCATATCTTTTAGACAATAAACTTACCAGATATATGATTTATATAAGTGTTCTGCCACTGTGGAAGTCGTCTTTTCCCTCTTTTGATAATGATCCTTTGAAGGACAGAAGTTTTTTTATTTTTATTTATTTATTTATTTATATTGCAGTTTTGGGCGGGGGCTGGGTTTGAACCCGCCACCTCCAGTATATGGGGCCGGCACCCTACTCCTTGACCCAGAGGCACCGCCAGAAGTTTTTTATTTTAATCAAGTTATTTTTATTTATTTTTATTGTTTTATTGAATGGTAACTATGTACATTAATGCACTTCTGGGGTACAGTGTGGGGTTTTCACATGCAATCTGAAATACTTCCGTCAAACTGGTCAACACAGCCTTCATGTCATTTTCTCAGTTATTGTTTTAAAACGTTCACATTCTACTCTTAGAAAGATTCACTTGTACCCCTATAAGATAAACCTCAGAAGTGATCCCTCCAAACCCCCTCCCTTCACCCATTCCCCCCTCCCTTCTCCCTCCCCCCCATATTCTTAAGCTATTTTATTTTAATCAAGTTTAATTTATCCATTTTTTTTCTTTTTGTTGCCTATATTTTTGGTGTCACATTTAAGAAACCATTGCAAAATTCAAGGTTATACAGACTTGATCCTATGTTTTCTTCTTAGAGTTTATACATGTAATAGTTTCTGCTCTTAGATTTAGGTCTTTGATTCATTTTGAATTAATTTATGCATATGATGTAAGATAAGAATCCAACCTCATTCTTTTCCATGTGGATATCCAGTTTCTCCAGTACCATTTGTTGAAGAGCCCGCTCTTAAGTGGTCTTAGCATCTTTGTCAAAGATCAGTTGACGTTACATAGAAGGGTTTATTTCAGGGCTTGTTCAATGGTCTATATGTCCACCCTTATGCCCATTCCACACTTTTTGGTTACCATAGCTTTGCAGTAAGTTTTGAAGTCAGGAGGTGTGATTCTTCCCATTCTTACTCACGATTGTTTTGGGTATTCTGGAGCTCCATGAAATGGCATATGAAATTTGAGGTGATTTTTTTCATTTTCATCCAAAAAATGCTATTGAGATTTTGATAGGGATTGCATTGAATCTGTATGTCACTTTGAGTAGTATTGCCATGGCTGCATAGTATGCCATTGTGCTGACATTTAGTAATGAATTACCTAGAATTAATAAGTTTTCAAGTGGGTCCCAGTTTTCAATATTACAGTCTTGGCAGAATAGATCCTGTCTGTATCCTACTGAGTTGTGAGATTGGGACATATAAGAACACAGCCAGGGCAGCAAGCTCAGAACACATGGTTTCAAAGAAGCATGGTCACGCTTAGAGACCTGGCTTCTCTGATAGAGGAATCTTTTCTTTTTCTTTTTCTTTTCTTTTTTTTTTTTTTTTTGAGACAGAGCCTCAAGCTGTCCTCCTGGGTAGAGTGCCATGGCATCACAGCTCACAGTAACCTCCAACTCCTGGGCTCAAGCAAGTCTTCTGCCTCAGCCTTCCGAGCAGCTGGGACCACAGGCGCCTGCCACAATGCCCGGCTATTTTTTCTTTTTTTGGTTGCAGCCATCAATGCTGTTTGGTGGGCCCGGGCTGGATTCGAACCCGCCACCCTGGGTGTACGCAGCTGGTGCCCTAGACACTTGAGCCACAGGCGCCGAGCCTGATAGAGGAATCTTTGTAAGGGTCCTTGAAATCTTATTCAACCCCTCATTTGACACATGGGAAGCTAAGGCTCATTGAAGGCTGGTAGCCTATCCAAGGTCACTAAGCACAATAAGGTAGAGCTAGGCTTAGAACCTAGGGCTCCGAGTCTTCAGTCTGAAGCTCTGCTAGTGCTAGCCTGTTCCTTAGTGCCCATAGCCTCTTGCTTCCTGATGTTTGGTAAGTCACAGTGTCTCAAGAGGCTGGCCAAATCTTACATTCACTTAAGGAAATCAGTGTATCTGTGTTATCAATTAAGGGAAAAAGAGTTCTGGAGTGCTGCATGTTTATCTTTCCAATCCTCTCTTCTCTGTCCTTAGTGTCCATGATGGGGAACACAGTTTCTCTTCTGGGTGTTTCCTTCCCACCACCATGAGCCAACTGTATGGGATATGGGGAATGAAGGCTGAGAAGACAGTAGTCCTCAAGGAAAGCAAGATTCAAAAGGCAAATCTGTATTGCCCCAGAATTTCTCCACAAGAGTCCCAGAAGGATAGCAGCAAGCTGGTAGAAAGGAGCTCTGAGGAACTCTCCCGAAGTTGCATTTATATTGACAAACACACTGCTTTAACTCAGGCTATCTGTTTACTTGAAAAGTACATCCTGGTTCAGTAACTAAATTGTTGGCTTTTTGGGTGCAAAAACTGGATTGGATACTTCTTTGCAGACTTCTGGAACACACAGACTTATAAGCACATAGTAATGTCCATGTTTACTCTGCTTCTATCTCTCCATTCTCCAAACCCTCCAGTTAGCTTTTACATTAAAACTCAGTCATTTTCTTGCGATTGCATTGTTTATAAATGAATCACTCAGGCTATTGCATTAGGGGGAGTACCCCAGACAAGTGTCTTGTCAGATGGTTTTGCCTTAGATCAGTGCTTTTTAACTGGTGTGCCATGGCACACTGGTGTGTCATGATAGGACCTTAGGTGTGCCGTGAAATTTTTAAAATATCATTAATAAAATTATTTTCAAAAGAAGGTCAAAGCACAGTAAGTATGTATTTTTACCTTTTTTTGGATCAATATAATTTAAGTGTGCCACGACATTAAAACAAGTTGAAAAACACTGTCTTAGACTTTTATAGGGACAAAGATGAGATGATTGGTAGTTGGGACTGGTTTGTAATAGGGATAAGTTTCAGTCAGGTGAACAGAAAATGTTTATCTCTGTTTCTAGCTAGTTTCGAGAGCAAATAGTTTTGATCTCAACTAATCAACTCAAGAGAGAATCTGTATCTGGTCATATCAACAGATGCAGAAAAAATGAAAAGGTCTTTCTTTAGGCTTGTAACTGGTAAACAAGGGGATCATTTGCATGAGTTTTAAGTAAGTCACAGGGAGAAGAGCGGCTTTGTACAGCGAGTCCTTCCAGAAGCACAAACAGGTGAGGTTCTTAACCATTGCTGTTTTTCGAGATCATAGAGCTCAGGTAAAGTTCAAGGTCTCATTAGGAGACTCTTTCTGGAAGCAAAGACCTATACTTCTTATTGTTGACCAAATGACATAGTGGAAATTTAGTCGCTACTTTCAAGAAGAAAATGCCTTGGAAGGAGGCACTTAGATCACATCCGTGACGCCGCCTCTCTCCAGGCTTCAAACTACAAGTCCCAGAGAGCAACTCGCCACTTCCTCCGCGTAGTAAGGGCGGGAATCGGACGCCTCGCTGCATGCCGGGAACACAGTGGTTGGGTCAATGAAGAAAAATGTAATTTTAGCGGGTCTTCGGTTTTCGGAAGAGTAACTCAAAACCTCCTCAAACAAGGCAAGGATACAGAACCGAAAAAGTAACATTATTTTTTCCACGGAGGACAGCTCAGGCCCCTCCCGAAGAAGGTATTTAACTGAAACCGGAGCTAAGCTCAGTTTTCCCAATAGTCTCCTTTCCGGCCGTGACTTGCGTCATTATCGTTGCATCCTTTCATTGGCCGGTTGACGGGTGGTGGCGCCTGCGCGCTGAGTTCCTTTGAGGGTCGTGGGCCGACGCCATTTTGGCCCAGAGGTGCTTCTAGGAAGTGAAGCGCCGACCCACTCGCCTGCCGGACTCCCGGGTACGGCCTTTTCTTCCGGGGCTTCTAGGTCGAAGCATTCTCCTCTGCCTCTGGTGCTTCCTTACTTTCTGCACCCTCCAAACTCTACGGTCGGGCGGGAGCGTCTGAGCACCGGGCCGTGCCATCGGGGGTCACATCGCCCGGAAGGAGGTGACAGGGGCGGCGCGGGGCGCGGACACTCCCCGCTGAGAGCCCGCCTGCCATGGACTCGGAATATTACGGTGGCGACCAGTCAGGTGGGGCAGGGATTCGAGGGACAGGGCTGGGGGCCGGAGTAGTTAACTTGGCGGAGTTTGGCCTTGCATCCTCGCGGGGAGGGGAGGGAGGCTCAGAGACATTCTCTCCTGGTCCCGGTTTGAAGTGGACCGAGAGGCGGAGTGGGAAGAGCTCGCCGACTACCTGCGAGCCCCGAAGTTAGAACCCTGTGGAGGGGATTCTAGACGGAAAGCCATCTTCGGAATCCGCGAGGCGTTTTGCTCAAATTGGGAAGCCACTTCCATATATGTATTAAACTCCCACTCTGTACAAAGTGCCAGGGAGAGAGAAGTCTTTACTGTTAAGGAATTTTCCAGGAGTTGAGAATTTTCTGAGAATCCTAGGGGTGGGGGATCCTTCCTAGACTTTTAAACTCTGAGTTAGAGCTTGATTAATCTCGCCTGCAACACAGGACATAAGAAAATGCAGGACCCTTGTTTGAATAGCCTAAACACTTTAGAGGAGTGCAAGCTCGGGTGCACTTTTTGATGGGTTCTGCGGTTTTATTCTTCTTGATATCTTTCCTTTTTCTTTTCACTTGCATTTGGTCACCCTTTTCTGTGTATTCGGGAAACGCTTACTGGGCTCCACTGTGCTAGCCCCGTGCTAGGCAACAGTGATACAAAGATGAGTAAGGCAGAGAGCCAAGTGGAAGAAAACACGTTACGTTTGCTTCTTCATGTGCTAGTTCTGTTTGGGCGTTCTTTTTTTTTTTTTTTTATTAAAGTATAGCTGTATACATTAATGCAAACATGGGGTACAGTGTAGTGTTTTCATATACATTTTAAAATACTTTCATCAAGCTGGTTCACGTAAATTTCATGTCATTTGCGTAGTCATTGTGTCAAAACATTTACATTCTAGTTCTAGAAAAGTTCACTTGTACCCTTGTTAGACAGAAATATAGGTGATCTTTCCGGTCACCCTCCCACCACCCAGCCACCCTTCTCCCCTCCCTGTTTGGGCGTTCTTTATCAAAGTGCTTAAATAATTTTTTAAGCCTTAACCTTTTTTTCTATTTTGAGTTGTTTCCTTATATCTGGCAGCAAGTAATAATGACTATAGTCTTCCAGACATGCACTACTCTTGGCTTAAAATGTTTCCTGATGTTTTCAAAATAGTTTTTTCAATTCGTGTTTCTAAATGACTTTTTCAAAAACTAATTATATATAATACATAGGTTAAAGGCTAAAAGAGGTAATAAAGTACTTACCTGATTTCCCCCAACCACTGACTTTCTGTTCTTTTAGCTGTTTGGGGATATTTACCTCTGTATTTATGCTATCTCTTGTTGCATCAGTTTTGGGCATTCTGTAGTGATTCCTGTTATGCTCGGAAGGCATTTTAGCCTAAGTACCCTCTTCTCCCCTGTTCTCCTACTGTTGCAGCATAATTAAACTTCACAACTATTTTTATTATGACTTTGTAAAAATTTTTTCTCCTTAACTGAGGAGATGAGCTCATTAGTTGTGTCTATATTCTTAATACAATTTTTTGGTTTTCTATAAGTGACTATTTAATTTTTGAAAATGTTTATTTTTATTAACCTCTAACCAATTTTTCTTGTATCCTTTAACAGCCCTGAGTTCCTCTCAGTATGATTTTACTTTGTATAGTATTGGTTAAAGTTAGGGAGCAATTCATATTTGACCATTTTGTAATATATGTATTACTTTAATGAGTTTTCCCTCTTTCTGGACTGGAGTTCCTTGTATTCTTTATTCTTAAGCAATTGAGTACATCATGTACTAGAAGTATTCTGGGCTCTAGGGATTCAGCAGTGAACCCAAATCCCTGCTCTTGGGGTGCTTTCATTCAAGTGGAGAAGACTAATGTTAAACAAAATAACTTGGTAAATTATATAGTACCTTAGGAGGTGGTAGGTGCTATGGAGAGAAGGATTGAATTTTTAACCTGAATGCAGTTCAGACAGTTAAATGGCACACTGTTATTTAGAATTTGTTGGCTTGGGTTTTTTTTTTTTTTTTGAGACGGAGTCTCAAGCTGTCGCCCTGGGTCGAGTGCTATAGTATCACAGCTCACAGCAACCTCACACTCTTGGGCGTAAGTGATTCTCTTGCCTCAGCCTCCCAAGTAGCTGGGACTATAGGCGCCCACCACAACGCCTGGGTACTTTTTTTTGCTTGTTGTTGTCACTGTTGTTTGGCAGGCCTGGGCCAGCTCCGATGTATGGGAGAACCGCTGAGCCACAGGGGCCGAGCCTGTTGGCTTGGTTTTTAGTGGTGTTTCTTAAGCTTCACATTCCTTTTATGATGTACTTTTGCTGACACACGTGTGTATTGTCATTGTTGGCATTTGTATAAATATTATTTAGTTCAAATTACTAGCATCATTAGTTATGCTTCATACATGGTAACTTGTGCTTTTATCTGGTCCTCTTCGTTCATTGTGTTGATTTCAGCTGTAGAAGTCATGCATCTTATACCATAAGTGGGTTTTTGTTTTATTTTTAAGCAGATGATGGTGGCGCTACCCCAGTACAGGATGAACGAGATTCAGGGTCAGACGGTGAGGATGATGTAAATGATCAGCACTCCGGATCAGACACTGGAAGTGTAGAGCATCATTCAGAGGTATTGGCTAAACCGTATTTTGGGGAGGTTTTCCCCTTGCATTCCATGAGAACTGTTGTATTTAGGAGTTGTAGAATCTGTGTCATGGAGTCAGGCACTAAAAATTATTAGAAAATTGCTTTAAAAATATAAAGGGATGATCTGGTTACTGAAGAAATTATAGGGAAATAAGTTTTTTTATTGTTGTTGTTTTTTGAGACAAGTCTCACTATGTTGCCCTCAGTAGAGTGTTATGACATCACAGCTCACAGCAACCTAAACTTTTGGGCTTAAGTGATTCTCTTGCCTCAGCCACCCAAGTAGGCGCGCATCACAACGCTGGGCTATTTTTCTGTTGTAATTGTCATTGTTGTTTGGCAGGTCGAGATCGGGTTCCGCCAGCCCTAGTGTATGTGGCCTGCCCCCTAGCGGCTAAGCTGCAGGCGCTGAGTGGGAAATAAGTTCTGATTGGGTCACATTTCAAATATTTGACAGGGACGGTGCCTGTGGCTCAAAGGAGTAGGGTGCCAGCCCCATATGCCGGAGGTGGCTGGTTCAAACCCAGCCTGGGCCAAAAACGGGGATGGGGGGCGCAAGGGGGGCATGTATGTATGTATGTATGTATATATTTGGCAGGTTTAATTTTATTTTTTGAGATAGTGTCTGTTGCATGGGATAGAGTACAGTGGCATCATCATAGCTCACTGCAGTCTCAAACTCTTGAGCTAAAGTGATCTTCCTCAGCCACTGGGGACTATGGGTATATACTGCCATGCCTGGCTAATTTTTCTAATTTTTTGTAGAGACTGGGTTTTGCTATGTTTCTTAGGCTGGTCTTGAACTCTTGGCTTCAAGCAATCCTCCCGCCTCAGTCTCCCTAAGTACTAGGATTACAGGTGTGAGCCCCCATGACTGCCCAGAATATTAGGCAGTTTTCAACTGCATATTGATTCAGAAAATGAGCCAGGCCTTTGATACTTGACTAAGTTTCCCCATTTCACAAATAATATATTATTGGGTCAATAAACATTGACAATTTGAAGAAGTAGCACTTGAACTAAGGGTTATTGCCTATCAGAATTTATGTTTAGCATCCTAATTTTGGAGTGTTGCAATTTATATAATGTATGTAATAACAAAGCAAATGTAATTTTAAAAGCTGTTTTTAATAATATAGGGTAGTATTGAAGCTTGTGTACACATTAACATATTTGATCTGATACATAAACATTTGAAAACTACTTAATTTGCTGTCCTGGTGATACACACTTTTGCTGCACAGTGTTAACAAGATACAATTGGAACTTTTTTTCTGTAAGTCAGTCACAAGTCTTTGGTAGACACAGACTGAAACAAATAGGAACAGTAAAGATGGACAGGATTTTCTTTTAAGAATTTCAGATGTTGGGTGGTGCCTGTGGCTCAATGAGTAGGGCGCCAGCCCCATATACCGAGAATGGTGGGTTCAAACCTGGCCCCAGCAAAACTGCAACAAAAAATAGCCGGATGTTGTGGCAGGCACCTGTTAGTCCCAGCTACTCGGGAGGCTGAAGCAAGAGAATCGCCTAAGCCCAAGAGCTGAGGTTTCTGTGAGCTGTGACGCCATGGCACTCTACTGAGGGCAATGGAATGAGACTCTGTCTCTAAAGAAAAAAAGAAACAAAAGAATTTCAGATGCCATATATGCATATTTTTTTGATATACACATGTGCAGAAAGGTGTCCAATTTTTAGACATTGTACTGTTGACTTTGTCCTTTGACATGTCATTAATATATTAACATGTTTTATAAATATTTAGTGCCTGCTATGTATTAAGCTCTTTTTTAGATGTTTTATACATATCAGTGAGTAAAAGTCAAAATCTTTTTCTTAGATTTATATTCCAGTGAGAAGAAAAAAAATTAAACAATATACTTTTTTTTTTTTAATGTTGTGAGGAAAGAAGAAAATTAGAATAGAAAGAAGGGTGCCACATTGCAGAGCAGCTTTTGGTGTTAAACAGGGAGGTGATGTAGGCATTATTGAGAAAGTGACATGACATTTGAGCCCGGATGTGAAAAGAAGTGTAGGAATAGCCACACAGATATGTACATGTAGGAGAAGAACTTTCTTGGCAAAGACCTAAGGTGGGAATGTGCTTGATGTCTTCAAAGAGCACCAGGGAGCCATTGTGGCTATAGTGGTGTCACTAAGGGGAAGGGGAGGTTAGAGAGCTGAATGAGGGTGCAGAAAATGCTTATCCATTGTATGGATTTTGATGTCACTCAAGTTTGCTCATTTAGGGTAAATTCTATTATAATAATTAATGCTGGGTAGAAATTACCTAATATCAAACATTGTTACAGAACATTCAGTGGATGATATTTTAAATTTCCATTTTGTAAACAGTATCAGGAGATTGACCAGTGTCAGTTTAGAACCCATTAGAGTAGTCATCTTGTGGCTTTGTGCTGTAGTAATAAACACAATGTATGTTCACCTTTAAGCATCATCAAGTACTTTTTTGTAATAATGGATTTTAAAAAAATAAATGTGTGTGTTGTTGATAATTTGGAAATCACTGAGTCCCTAACTCGTGATAGTTCGACTTAGCATTTTCAATTTTACTATGATTCAAAAGCCTTGTTTTTCACTTTCAGTATAGTTTTCTATAAGTTACATAAAATATTCAACACTATATTATAAAAATAAAATGTGTTAGGTGATTTTGTCCAACCATAGGCCAAAGTAAATGTTCCAAGTATGTTCAAAGTAGGCCAGGCTAAGCTTTGATAATCAGTAGTTTAGGTATATGTAGTATTAACTGCATTTTTTACTTATGACACTTTCAACTTAACTGTGCATTTGTTAGGATATAACCCCATCATAAGTCAAGGATCCTGTATATCTAAAGTTTAAAGAAAAAACTTATGGGAGGCTGAGGTGGGAAAATTGCTTGAGCCCAGGAGTTTCAAACCAGACTGACTCCCTCCCTCTTAAAAAAAAAAATCAAAATCAGGTTACTTCTATCACAGAAGTGACAATTAAACTTTTTGACTTTATTTCTGCTGCATTTTTATTCTCTCTCATGTGTATGATGTATGTATGTATTTTAAGTTACTTGAGATTTTACTAAATATATTTTGTATTTATACATTATTTTTATCTCTTTATTTAAGATTGTACTTTAAATATTCCCCCATTGCATTAAAGATTTTCACTAAGCATAATTTTTAATGGTTTCACAATATGGATGCAGCAGTCCTTATTCAATAGTTCCCTGATTATCAGCATTTAGACTGTTCAGCTATTTTAAACAAAGCTGCCCTGAACATTTTTGTACATAAACGTTTGTGATTATTTATTATTACTTCTTAGAAATCTACCAGGAGAATTAACCTGATTAAAGAGACTAGGACATTTTCAGGGTTTTCATAAATATTCCCCTCCAGAAGGTTATTCTAATTTGCTAAACCACTAGTAGTTTAAGAATACCAGTTGTACCCTTGTATTAATGTTCTTTTGTCTATTTAAAATGACTTCTAAGAAGAAATTTTTGGTTTTCCCATTACAAATGTTTCTTAGAAGTTAATGGAATATTAAAAAACTACAGTTATATTAAATGGAGCAGTGCACATTACAGGATCAAAACCTAAAAGATATGTTTACAGAGTCTTATAGCTGTAACAACTTGACAAAGTTAATGGCTTAAACCAACATGCTTATTATCTTACATTTCTGGAGGTCAAGTCCAAAATGAGTCTCCCTGGGTAAAATCAAGGTGTCATCAAGGTTGTATTCCTTCACTAGAGGAGAATACATTTCCTTGCCTTCTTCAGAGGGCACCTACATTTCTTTGCTGAGACCCATTCCTTCATTTTCTTTGGGTTTTGGGGGATTTTTTTTGTTTGTTTGTTTTTCAGTTTTTAGCTGGGGCTGGGTTTGAACCTGCCACCTGTAGTATATGGGGCCAGTGCCCTACCCCTTAAGCCACAGGTGCCACCCTCATTCCTTCATTTTCAAAACCAGCAGCATAGCATCTTCAAAACTCTGACCTCTTGTTTCTATCACATCTGTATCTCTTATTCTGACCCTCTTGTATTCCTCTTATAAAAACCCTTATAATTATATTGAGCCTACTGGATAATCAAGCCTAATCTCCCTGTATCAATGTTCTTGCCTTCCCTGTGCAGTCCCTTTTGCATGTAAAGTAACATTCTGGAGGTTAGGAGGTGGACATCTTTGGAGGGCTACCACAAGATGGTACTCCCAAAATAATTTTCCAAATAATACTACTTTTGTTTTAAAAAGTTACATTTGCCTATGTTAACCAGTTTGATGGAAGTGTCTTGGATTGTGTATGAAAACACCACACTGTACCCCCAAAGTGCATCAATGTACACAGTTACCATTTAAAAAAAAAAAAAAAAAAAAGTTACATTTGCATTTTAGGCTAATTTTTTTCACATCACCTACAATATTTACTCTGTACCCATATCTTTAAGTCTCTCAGGAATACATACAGCATACACACAAACTTTAAAATAGTGGTCAGCATGAGAAAAGCTGATGAAATTTTGAAAACAGTGATCAAGATTAATACTTTAAAATTCAAAATTAATGCAAAAAGATATGAACAAAATAATGAAATCTTTTTTTTTTTTTTTTT